GCCATATTGAATTGCTCATGTTTTCTGGTTTAATGCTTAGTAGAAGGTTCTCAGGTCTCCATTCCATGCTTGCCCCGGTAACTTCCTGCAGTTCTGTGTGCCTTTAAACTCAAAGGAGCTTCTGAAACTTTGCTCTTGAGTAAACAGCTGGCCAAACTGCTGAAGCAGGGCTGTCAAACCTGCAGCCTGCGGGCCAGATGTCACACACTGGCCACACCCACACCCAGATTAACAAAGGGGGGGAGTTGCGATATGTCACATGACGCCGCTGTGACAATGAAAGTTTGACGTTCTTGTGCTAGGGAAACTGAAGCATAAAATGCTAATGCATAGGATTTGATAACGGCTACAGCTTATTCCACAAATTATGACAATATGATAAGAAGGTTTATTTGAGAAGCCTAACTAGTCATGGTTCATGTTGAAGTACCAATGAAAGAATTTGAGCTAACTGTCGTCATCTACTACATATTCATGGCCAAATGAGAATTTTGCCTGGCCAATATGTATGCCTGCAACATAATTGGTGAAATGGATATCTGTTTTTTATAGCAGAAAAGAAATTGCCATTATAATGCCATTATCAGAAATCCCAGTCAGTGAATGAAGTTGGCCAGATCTTTGTGGGGAGAAAAAGGAAGATTATATCTTCTTTGTTATGGATGTTTTCTTTTACTTGCTTCTCTTTTCCTGTATTTGTCAAAGCAACCCCAAGGGAAGAAAATTTTAGGGATAGAAGGAATATGGTGGATTGGAGAAGAAGAGACCAGAAATTTTCTAATGAGACTCTCTCATCATGTAATATTAATATTGAGCTGTTGTTGTGACCTCTACTACCAATTGATTCATTACGTACCACTAAGATGGTGTTGATTATCAACAATGATGTAGATATATTTTCTCCATAAAGATTTTCCCCTAAACTGGTCCTTCAGATCTTCCAATAGGGTACCTATCACCTACTACTATTACTATTACTGGTTTTTCATAGACTTTGAAAAGACAGTTGTCAACATATGCTATCAATAGCTGGTGCTTTCTGTGCAGCTGCAGTTTATATAGATGAATAACACAACAACAGTTTGTAAATCAGGAAAGTGGCCAAGATTGTACACAGAATTTCCACTGACATTTACTGAAGCTCGCTAACACTAAAGAACACTTACAAAATTCTAAATACTTTTCCGCTCCAGGAAATGTGGTTGTATACAGGCAGTATTCATCTGTAATGGTGGATTCAGTGCATATTGAAATTATGGAATTCCTGTCCTCTATTGTGGTGATGGTCATATATTTTGATGAGTTAGACAAAGTAATGAAAAACCAGATTAATAATGGCTAATGGTCTGATGACTATAGGCTACTTCCTGAATATCAAGCAGTCTATCAATGCCACAGAACTACGGAGATGGAAGAAGGTTACGCTATTGATTTCCTGTCCATTCTTAAAAGCCTCTTGAAGTGCCTAAGTAGATGAGTCTGAAAGCTGCTTTATTTTAACACCTTTTGCTGTTTCCATGAGCAAAAGTGGAGGGATCAATGAATCACGATTGACTTTTAGATACAATTTAAAATGTGTTGGAATAAGAAACAAATTGGAGATAAGTCACCAGAAAACAATAAAAATATGTAAAGGCATCTCTAATGAAGAATAGACTTCTAATAATAACTAAAGTGATTAAATCATGTTAAATGGTATATCGGAAGCTAAATCAAAGAATGAGTGGTCAAAGGTATATTAATTCCATACACAAAGATATATGTTTTTGTTAGTTGCAAAGTAATGTGCAACCTATCTCAACCTCATGGACAACGTTCCTCCAGGCCTTCCTGTCCTCTACCATCCTCTGGAGTCCATTTAAGACCACGCCTACTGCTTCGGTGACTCCATCTAGCCACCTCTGTCGCCCCCTTCTTTTGCCTTCAATCTTTCCCAGCATTAGGCTCTTCTGCAGTGAGTCCTTCCTTCTCATTAGGTGGCCAAAGTATTTTAAGTTTCATCTTCAGAATCTGGCCGCCCAAAGAGCAGTCAGGGTTGATCTCCTCTAGGAATGACCGGTTTGATTGCCCTGCAATCCAAGGGACTCACAGGAGTTTTCTCCAGCACCATACTTCAAAGGCCTCAATTCTTTACACAGACACAGACACACACACACAAGTTTGTGTGGTTATTTTATATATAATTCTAACCATTGCTATGTTCTCAATGTCAACATGCCTAACTTTTTAAAGTATTCAACCTAAAGTAAAATATATTTATTATTTCAATGGAAAATCAGCTACTTTTAGGCTCAACATCAAGATTGTAGAGACATTTCTGGGGAATTAAGAAAGGACCGTGTTCAGAGGAAATGATTTAATATCAGCTAAGGAAATTGTGGTTTTTCAGAGAGAAATTCAGGGGAAGTACTTGGAGTTAGAAGAAATCAACACATCACCATAGTTTTCAGAAAAAAGCCTTTTTTCCAGCATTTCTATAGTTAGCTCTCTGTTTCTTAATAACATAGGTATGATGTCTCATGAATTGGTAGATCCCTATGCTTCAGATTAAATCTCAAAATTGCTTTCGTTGTTTCTACAGTGGATTATGAACAGTACAGTATTAAGCAAGCAAAGCTTTTTGGACTTTTTAAGTAACCAAATAATACATTTGCCTATCAAATGCTTTATTCTTAGCACCAAAATCATCTTACTTGGTTACCTAGTTTCTACACTTTTCACCTGATATCGCAATTCTTTTTTTAATGTTACAATATTAAAAACATTTATTTTACAATAAAGTAAAATGCTTTATTGTCAGTTCATGCATGCTCCTTGTCATCAGAGCTTATATCAGAGTAATGCCACATTTTAAAACAGCTTAAATTACTTGCATCTACATTCCAATGGAACTGTTTGACAAAATAAATATAACAACAGTTATTCTAAATCTATTTAAAGAAGAGCGGTGTAAATTTTGAACATTTTTATCTGTTAGCTTTTATGCGATCTAATGCCTACTTTCCTTCATGGTTTGATGAGAGTGTGCTATCGCCAAAGATAGAATTATTTTTTATTTTCATTATAAGAAGTTGCAAGTACCTGTTTTTTCTTCTTTAGATCAAAGTATCTGCTTTATCATTCTCCTTTTCGTGAATTTGTGTGCCTACTTCTGTTCTTATTGTTGTGCATCACTGCCTTGAAAGGGGAGAAAAGAGAAGGAAAAAGAAAACATCTAATGTGGTTTTTTTTTGACAATGTTTGGTTAGATCAAGGCTTTTGGTCTCTTAAGGCAATCATTGACTCAATCCATGTCACCAAGATTTTTATTTTTAGAACACAATAGAATAGAATTCTTGGCCAAGTGTGATTGGACACACAAGGAACTTGTCTTTGGTGCATATGCTCTCAGTGTACATTAAAAAAAAGATGCAATCATAAGGGACAATACTTAATGATAGTCATAGGGTACAAATAAGCAATCAAATCATACTAGGAAACAATATAAATCAATATAAATCGTAAGGATACAAGCAACAAAGTTACAGTCATAGAGTCATAAGTGGGGGGAGATGGGTGGTAGGAACGATGAGAAGATTAATAGTAATAGTAATGCAGCCTTAGTGAATAGTTCGACAGTGTTGAGGGAATTATTTGTTTAGCAGAGTGCTGGCATTCAGGAAAAAACTGTTCTTGAGTCTAGTTGTTTTGGTGTGCAGTGCTCTATAGGATTGTTTTAAGCGTAGGAGTTGAGGGTTTTTTTTAGTTCAGAGCTACCACAATTTATTTGATTCATGTTCTAGCAAGTACCAATTCCTTCTTCATAGCATTCACAAAGCATGGCTTTGAAATCAGCTCCGACTTTATTGTCCTCTATTCTTTGTTTATACTGATCTGACTAACACAGCCTTTGACCTAATACAGAAGAGCACATTGTATGATCTTAATTCCTATAAGACAGTTCTTCAGGAAAACCATCACCCATAGACTTTCAATTTGTATTAATTTACATTGATGATTTGTTATGGATGATTTGGGGACATTTTCTCATATTCCCACATGGTCACCAGAACCATTCAATAACCTTAATTCCCTGTACTAACAATTCAAATTCTTCTTTCCTCCCTATTACCTTCAAAATTCCAAGCCAATGAATAGGTAGAAATGCTATGTTCTATTATTTGGTTCATTTTAAGATATGAGATATATGTATTAATAAGGAAACTTGATGACAGGGAAACATAAAATCTCTTCAATCCTACTACTATAATTTTTTATGTCAGCAGTGAGCAGTCTCCCTTAAACTCTAATCTGCACTTCATTATATACAAAGAAAATGTTATGAGTGCTGAGAATGTGTTGCATTATTGAATAAAAGAGCTAATTTGGCCTACTGATTAAAGCACCAACCTAAAAACCAGGAGACTGAATTTGAATCCCACTTTTAGACACGCAAGTCACCTGGGTGACTTTGGGCCAATTCTTCTCAATCCAACTCACTTCACAAGGTTATTGTGGAAACAGTAGGAAGAAGGAAAATTAAATATGTTCACTCAAGAAATCTAATAAATAAAATCCTACAGTGCTATAGTTTATCTTAAAACTGTAACTTAAATTGTATCTTAAATTGAGTTTGGAGAGAAGATTCAAGGGTCATTGATATAATAGAAAAGAGAAAGTAGCCCTTGGGTTAACTGATTGATTGATTGATTGACTGACTGACTGACTGACAAAGTGTTACATAATATAGGTAATTCATACTGTTCAATGGATTTTCTTTTTCATATTAGAATCCCTAAGAAAAGACTTGGCAGAAGTGTGTCGGAGATGAGAAGATTGACACATACCACAGTTCTAGTATGAATCCATAGTTGTTTACCTGGAAAGAAATAACAGATCAGGTAAACTTCCTCCTTTGTTAGAATGTATGGGATTGCAGTTTTAAGCAAACAGTGGAGCTGTTTTATTCCACTTAATGAATATTTTAGGTTTTAAATTAATAATACGGAGGAAAAACAAAATGAAGCCTCCATAAAATCTTTCTTTAAAAAAGTTTGTTAAAACAAATTAGTCCAACATCTGGTAAGACTGTATTTGAGCATTACTCTGTTTATAGATAATATCATGAGGATATTTGGAGTGGTTGCACAACAGAGATTAATAGCATGCTAAACATTTACAAGAGCAAGTTTGGTTGGGGAAAAAGAAAGAAAGCAGATTCTTGTTAAACTGCCAGTGTTAATAAATTATATCCAAAATGCCTTTAACAAAGTGTAAAAACTACTTACACTGTTTTGGATACAACCCTGAACCATGGCTGTGTTACATGCATTAAAAAGTTTGTGCTATGGGTATATAAACACTTGCTTTCCTTGTATGTAGCAGCTGAGAATGTTTGCTACCAGCTTGGTAGCAAATGTTTTCCATCCATAACGGATGAGAAGATAAACTTACAGCTGTACCTGGAAGATGTGTAATTTGCCTGAAACAAAACAAAAACAAAAGTTTAATTTTCCAAATGAAAATTAAGGTGGAACTCTACATGCTTGTTTATTGTGATTGTTCATGCTTGTAAACATTACTGTAGCTTAGAACTGAATCTCTCATGTGACACTGATTTGAATGAGTAAAATGTAAATATAAATTTGCAAGACAGATTCTGAGCAGATCAAATGTTAGGATTTAAAACTGTAGACCTCTAAAGACAATGGGCTTGCCATCTAGGCACACAAATCCGAAGTTATAAAATGTACTCTATTCGGTCCTAAATATTTATATAATATATATTTATCTAATATTTGCTAGAGAAATTTGTAGCAAATACTGAAAAGTAATTGGTATTTAAAAACAACTGGTGTAAAACTTCAAATCCTGTGCTCCCTAGTCAGCATGGGCTTGTGGAATTGAATTTCAAAGCAGTCTAGGGCAGGGGTGTCAAACTCATGTTGTCACGGTGGCATCATGTGACGTATCGAGACTGTCTTCCCCTTCGCTAAATCAGGCGTGGGCATGGCCAGGATGTGACGCATCCAGATCCGGTGGGCCAGGAGTTTGACAGCCCTGCTCTAGGGGCATCCGACTGGCTATGACTATTTAATCATTCTTTCTTAAATACAGGTAAATAAATTTTTTCATAGCAAATTTCTCTGGATGAAGGATTCGCCCAGTCCAACTAGAGATAGCTCTAAGAATGAACTCTTAACTCCAAGGAAAATGATTCCAAGGAAAATTGTTATAGCAAATACAATGTATATATTCAAACAAATAGGTACGGTAACTATCTTAATGGACGAGGGGAATGCTATGGAAATAATCTCACTCTGATTTCAGCAAAACTTTTGGGGTTCCATATGACATTCTTACTGAAAAGGTGTTTTACCTGCAGTTGTCTCTGAAGGTTTTTAAGAAGGGGCTGGAGAGCTGTCTTGTGAGGATAGTTTAGTTTTCCGGCATTGCAAAAGCTTGGACTAGATGATCCTTTTAACGCTTTCCAAGTCCACAATTTTATGATTCTGTGGACAGGCTGCCAAAACTAAAACTCCCACAGATACAGCTAGTAATGATAATGATGTTATCAGTTCAGTCAAGTTGGACTCAACTCTTGGTGACTATGGGCCAGATATCTCCACATCTTCCAATCTTGAACTATTTATTTTGAGTTTTTCTATGTTCTGGCTGGCGTACAGCTAATAAGTTGATATTAAGAGTGTTGTTCAGTAACATTTTGTTGCAGATAACTAGGCCATTCTTTAGAAAGATATATGATGGAACAGAACCTATTTCATTTAGAAAAAATAATAAGCTGGTAACTACAGTCTTCCCACATCTGCAGAAATATACAGTTCTTGTTTCTGACAGCATTCATAGAATAAAATCAAGTCTCATGCTCTAAATATTGTGGAACATAAACAAATTTTGGGACATATATTTTTGACTCTTTTCTTAAATTAGACCTTTGGCATAGAATATAATTCAAGAATTTACTGTATATGTCCCAAGTTTTAAGGAGCCTAAAACTATACATATGCTGTAAAAGATAAGTTACTGTATTATTCTGATGATGTCATTCCCATGGTTTTGGATAATTAAAGCCATGCTACATCACATTCATGTTATAAATCTAAATCTAATGAATTGACTATTATATAAAATGTGGGGGCCTAATAAAGTACGGTAGTAAGCTGTTCTATGTCCCATGTTTTCATATTTTCCTCCTTAGTAGTCATCTGTTTTTATTAAAAAGCATTTTATTAAATGCAGAAAGCAAATAATGAATGAGCTGGATTAACCTAATGACAAAGAAAGAAAGAAAAACTTCAGTTCCAAGACATTAACCAAAAGAGTTTTACCAGTTAAATCTCTAGATATAGGAATTTCAATTTCTTGGTTCCAATAATATATTATTGATCATGTGTGATATAGCTGATCATTTATCTTGCATTTTCATAGCAATAGAAAACTGTAGTATTTTCCTTGATTGCTTCCACTGTTGCATTTATCCCCCAAAGGTATCAGCCTTTCAGTCTGTTTTACAGACAGTCCAACTAATATTGTCAAGTGGTTGCACTCTGTAGTATTTTCCACTTTGTTCTCCAATCTTTAATCAGACATTATTTTATTGATTTAAAACTTTAGCATTTTGCATGTATGAAAAGTGGCTCCTGGGGTTTCTGCTGAGAATTCAGTGTTTTATGAAATGTCATGTGATACCAACAACAGATTTAAAATCTGTATTGTGGGAGTAATTTCGCTCCTTTGTGAATTGGGAGGAGAGACCAGTAACACTGAGAAACGTATAACCCTGGCACGTTGGATGCTTCCAGCCAATTTAAAAACAAACAAATCATGTTATTTATTGCATGTATAATATGCCATAATAAAATGACTCTTGATGTTTTTATAACCATGGAAACAATTATAACAACTTTTTTTTTAGCTTTACAAATTTTTATTTTATCAATTTCATATATACATTCACAATTATATGATCTCATAACTGTTATTAATAATATGTATTTATAACCATTTTTTCCCTACA